TCAACTCTTTTATGAACGTCACGTTTTCTGACTGCTCTGATACTTGCCTTTATATGGCTTCATTTCTAGACTCTCGACTCGTCGGACTTTGTGTCTGCAGTTAGGGGCCCGCCCATTTGCTCTGCTGAAGTAGATCCGAAATGCGAGGACAGTTTGAAACCCAATGCCTGGCTTGTGGATATGGACTAGGGGAGCCCAACCCTTTCAGAAAATAATTTATATTTTTAAACAGAAGTTTATTTGCAAATTATTCTGTTTATAACCGATTTCCGGCGATTTTAACCCTTTGAAGCCAGAGTTGACTGAAGTCCAGCCACATCTGTCGTACAACCGTCACGAGACCCACATGAATGTCTTCCTTTGGCTCTCAGCCAGTCCGAAGATGCGCATAATGCTCCTCTGATTGCTTTCAAGCCTGATTTTAATGTGCAAGTAAATGGTATACGAGGTGGTATCGGAAAGTTCCCTGACTGTTACTGTTGTAACTGTCTCGGTGAAAGATCAGAGGGGAGGCCAAGGTAACACTTGCGAAAGACTATTGCATCAGTCTGACACGTGACACCGCTCTGTGAGCAGGCATTGTTTTTACACGGGTGCTTTTTTGACTTCGTGTTTTGTTTTGTCTGCGATGCATGGCCAAATCAAGCAACGTGTGTACATCAAGTTTTGCGCGAAGCTCGGTAAATCCGCTACCGAAACCCTTGAAATGCTCCGTGAGGCTTTTGGAGAACATTCTTTAAGCCGGACAGCGGTTTTTGAATGGCATTCACGTTTTGAGGCCGGTCGAGTGTCAGTTGAAGATGAACGTTCGGGGCGACCAAGAGCCAGCAAAATGATAGAAATGTTTGAAAGAATTTCGAGAACTCATTCACGAAGACCGTCGCCGAACATTCCATTAGCTCACAGCCACATCTGGGATCAGTTATGGAGTTTGCCAGGAGATCTTAAACAGAAAATTTGAACATGCCCCGCATTGCTCCTCCATCACGACAACGCGCCCGCCCACATGTCCCTGAAAATCACAGTTTGTGACTAACAACAACATGGATATCATTCCCCATCCTCCCAACTCGCCGGACTTAGCCCCCCGTGACTTCGCTCTGTTTCCCAAATTGAAAATGAAACTGAAGGGACGGCGTTTTGAAACAGTGTCTGATATCCAAAGGGAATTGCAAGCGGTACTCGACAGCATTAAGGAAAATGGCTTCCTATGGGATCGCTGTATACATTCCCAAGGAGACTATTTTGAAAGAGATGGAAGCCAAAAATTGAGCAAGTTAAGCCAGCATTTGTTTTCTGACCTAGTCCGGGAACTTTCCGATGCACCTCGTATACGAGGGGTACCCAAAAGAAACCGAACTTATTTTTTTTAAACTTATTTATTCAAATTTTAAGCACAAACCTTCAATCCCCTTCAAAGTACTCTCCACTTACACTAATACACTTGTCTAGTCTTTTATTCCATTTTTCAAAACATTGTCTAAATTCATCTTTTGAGATGCTTGACAGCGCCCNTTTTCCCCATAGCATCGTCCTTGTACGCCGTTTTTAACATTTCAAGAGTTTCTGTTCCACTTTTCCCGAGCAAAAAGCAGAATTTCACCGCCGCACGCTGTTCACGAAAATCAGCCATTGCAAAAACGACGATCACACAAAACAGTTGTCACTATAAACTCTGCCGAAACTAGTCCTTACCTTCTGAAGCAACGGTAGTCGGCTTATCGACTCAGGAATGTTAGCTCTATGCGCTGATAGCGGCAAAACGCGGTACTACAAAAGCTCTGCCCACAAAAAAATTAGTTCGGTTTCTTTTGGGTACCCCATCGTAAGAATGTAGTTCATACCTCACAGGGAACACATTACGTCTACACTAGAAAGGCCAACCGGTTAAAGATATTTAGGATTTAAATTTAAGTTTAAATTAAATTTAGATTTAAATATTTAGATATTTACCTCGACACTATTTAATGCTGAGTGGTCGGCGTGACGTCCCGGCCGCTTTACCCCCGGGGAAAAAGCCCCGGTACCCATTGGATAGGATGTGAAGTGGAACCAAGAGCCGGTCTGGACGACATGGAAAAGTGAAAATTCTTGACCCCACTGGGACTCGAACTCCGACCTCTTGGTCGTCCAGCCAGCAGCCAGTCGCCGTACCGAATGCGCTATCTCGGCTCCAGATACCGACCCTCAATTTATTACAAAAGAATTTACCTGGCTGCGGTCTCAACTTTGAGAACCACTGGTTTGGGGACATGATCCCCGTTTGCTGTGAGATTCATATGAAAGACACCAAACCGGTTGGTGTAAGTTCTCGGTTAGAGTCTCGGCTTGGACGTTTGCTTTTCTGACTAAGGTTTGTTTTGGTTTTGTGTGGTTCCTCTGGGGAATTGTCGGATTAGTAGTTCTGCCAGGTAACGACCGCTTCTGTCAAAATCCATTCAGTTGTTGTGGTTTTAGGGACAGTGCTCCGAAGTCTCTGTGGTCTAGTGGTTAGCGTTCCTGGCTACAGATCCAGAGGTCCGCGTTTGATTCCCGGCGCCATCAGATTTTTTTCTGAGAAGTAGTGGGTCTGGAACGGGATCCACTCTGCTTCGTGAGGATAATTGAGGAGCTATTTCAAGGAAATAGTGGCTCCGGTCTAGAAAACCGAAATTAACGGCCGTGGGGATTCGTTGCGCGACACCCTCTATTCGCAAAAGTTGGCACTAAACTTCGCCGACGAACGGCGGTCGCTCGGTCGATATAGTTCGCTTGCGGACTAAAATCACGGAGTTTGTTTGTTTGTTCCGAAGTCTAATTAATTCTTCCTGCGGTACACGGCCAAAGGATTGGTCAGCCCTGTAATAGACCGTTGAGGGAAACCCTGCAGATGCAAACTGATCATTTCCGGGGGCAGAAACAAATACGTGCTCTGGCTCCCCCTTTGGAGCCACGAACTTCCGCAGAAAATGATGAAAGAGTGGTGTTCCCTTCTTATTCATGGAGTGGACCAGGATAATGATGTTAATCTAATCACGTTTAGGTTTTTCACAGTGCTTGTTTTAGGGCAGTGACAGACGGGGTGCCGAGATCGTGTGCTCCATTAACATACATCATTGGAAGGGGCGGGGGTGTTTTCTGATATGTCATTATAGGTTGATTGCTAGACGTCCAGGTAATCGAGGTTCAATTCATGGCAGCAGCAAGAGATTTTTCTTTTTCCCATAGAATGCAGACCAGCTCAAGGGCCCAACCAGCCTCCTATCCAGTGGCACTGGTGGTAAAGTGACCGGGACGTGAAGCTGACCACTCACTCCTTCTAGTGTTAAGATTATAAATGCATGGTGCTAGAATATCTTTAGGAATGTATCATGATGATATAGTTATGTCGATTGTTTCATCATCATCATCATCATCAAGATACTATATTCTATTTTCAACATACTGTTACGTAGTATGTGTGACTATAGAGGGGGTTTGGAGTGGTGAAAGGCTTTATTGACCACCTACAGGTCATAACTACAAATAATTATAACACTATCACTATTTCCACATTTTACAGTTCACTAAAGCACAGTCTACTGTTCTCAGCCTGTAACCAGTCGTTACCTGGTAACGGCTCCCAACAGTGGCCATTTTTTTGCCTCTGACTGAAGTCCTCGCTTCACAGACTCCTGTACAGAACTAAGCTCTAGCCTTGTTCCATGCTCATAACATCTCAGCATGGACCACGCAGAAACCTCCCATTCCCAACAGTACCTCCACTGTTGTATGTCGATCCATTGCTGCGGGAACATGTTTACCGAGCCATTGCCCAGAAACGGTCCTAGTATATCCGCCTATCTCACGGTCGTTGCATAGCAAAAACTTTACGCGCTACAGTGCGATGGGAACTGGAGATCTCATTGATTATGTAATGGAACTTTCCTTTGATATGGCTGCATGTTTCAAGTGTGACGTTGTGTCAGATGTTTGGAAGAGTCTGTAGCTGTTACAGTGACCTCAACTGAGTAGGAACATTCATTCCTTTGCTCCTGATGATGGACAGAGATCTGCTTTCTGAAATGTATGTTCGAAAGAACTCGAGACAACTGACATAGTCCAAAATAATAGCTGTGTTCATTGAACACAGCATAGTCAGAAACATTTAGACTTGGTTTTACTGGTGTGTGGGACCGCCTCTTTGGTCGAGTGGTCAGCGTTCCTGGCTACAGAGCCAGAGGTCCGGGCTAGACTCCCGGTGCTACCAGATTTTTTCTGAGAAGTAGTGGTCTGGAACGGGGTCCACTCAGCCTCGTGATGATAATTGAGGAGCTGTTTCAAGGAAATAGCGCCTCCGGTCTAGAAAACCGAAATTAAAGGCCGTGGGGATTCGTTACGCTGACCACTCGACACCTTCTGTCCACAAAAGTTGGCACTAAACTTCGCAAACAAGCGGCGGTCGCTGGGTCGGTATAGTTCGCTTGCTTACTACAGGCCACGGACTTTGTTTTACTGGTGTATATAATTAGTGCGATTAAATTATTTGACATTGCAATGTGCTCTCGGGTTTTTGTTAAGTTTGTCAGCATTTTGGCCGCTAATTAAGTACACCGCCACATGAGCTTGATTGTGTCAGACTGTCATCATGTAGGCATATAAACAAATATTGTACAAAACTATCATGGCGTTTGACACGTGTATTCAGTGTTTCAATGTCCATCTTATGATAAGTATCTTGTTGACTGAAGTATGTCATAATAGTGACTACAGAAATGGAATTTGAACTTCTGTGTTACAGTGTATTAACATCTATATTTAATTAATGTACACAGACAGGATGCAACATTTTAAAATTTTAACAGTTGGTATTTTTAAGTTTGCAATCTGCTTCTGCTGGTATCTTGCTTGGCCTTCTATTTGACCCTGAAGATGGATACATTGTTTTCCTACGAAGCACCAGGCTTTCTTTGTTGAAGTACATAGTTTTACAACCAAGAAGGCTGTACTCTTAAGTTGTTGTTTCTGTTTGCTTGTTTCAGGATACCCAAAACCCAAATACCAGTGGCTGAAGGATGGAATTGCTTTAGGGGAATTTTCATCGGAACATTTCTATCGGATTCACACCATACAGCGTGGGGATGCTGGCAGTTACCAGTGCATTGCTCGAAATGATGTTGGGTCCATCTTCAGTGAGAAGATTTCTGTGTCTGTTGCATGTATGTACACCATTAAAATTATCCTTCTTGGAACTTCACAAGAGATATTAACTGTGAATTTTGGAAACACATGAATGAAAATGTACTAAGCCCCTACATATATAGTTATGCATCTTGATGGCTCTTAAGGCCAGTGGCAGTGAATTGTACCACCTGTTCTAACATTCCAAAATTTTGCATTGCACCCACAGTTTTAAGTTCCTGTGAAAGTGATAACAAGCCTTGGGATTTAATAGAACACATGTAGTTTCATATGGTGTTTTGGGTTATGATGTCATGTACTGTGCTAGTCGGGTACCAGAATTTCAGAGGAACATACACTCTCCAGCTTCAGGAGAGATGGTGGGACCAGCAGATTCCTGCAGAACATGTCATACTGCATGGTGTCATAACCCAGAAGATTCATCACTGTCATGGAAAGTTAAATCTTATATGGGGTAATTTTTTGACCACTTGTGTGGCTGTTGTCCTTTGAGGAAGGACTCTGCTTCATGGACTTGATGGGGTGTGTGATCTAAAGGAGGTGAGCACCTGCAGTATGCAGGGCTAAATGGGGGGAAAATGCAGGTGGGCTACATCTATTTATTTTCAGAGCGCTTCTTTTTGAAGTTGTTTCGAGTATCATAAGATACTGTCACGTGTTCGAGTGGTCGGTAATCAGATTCATTGGACTTTTACACACAACTCATGACTACTCTTCACAAATCACAGACTAGTGGTCTGCTCCTCGGTTCATGTCCTTGCAGCCTAGTGGCAATCTCACACTAGCCTCCTCCTCTTTTAAATGCCGTCTCAGGATTCTCTCATAAAGGCATTCTCTCATTATATAGCCTCAGCACAAACCGCACAGAAAACACCACTTCTAACACCTCTTCTGTTGTTGCGTGCAAGTCTCTTGTGGTGATCACATGACACATATTGAACCATTGCCCAGCAATGTGTGTGTTCACAGAGCCGTTCGCTAGTAACTGCTGTTTCTCTGGCTCCACAGTTTTTGCTTTGAGCAAATATGCCACAATATTATAACTGTCATTACCAGTAATGATACATTTAGGAACAAATTCACATTGTAATAATCTCTTTTTAATATATTTTGATTATTCCTCCTGGGCTTCTCTGCTGATCTGGACTATCTGCTTACTTCTGGGGGCCAAAGTTTACCACATTGATCTGAGGTTTGAGGTTCAGATGACAGTGAATATTCATACTGCTCTCCTCTGGAATGTGACACTATATAGTCTGATAGACAGTTACGAATTTTTGGAGGAACCTGCCACACATGTCTTACGGTGTAAGATGGTGGCTATTTCAGAATATCAGTAACTTTCTGCCAGACTACACAGCATCGCATCTCAGAAGACATATATTTTCATACCTATAATATGTCTGGGGGCACGCGGTAGCATAGTTGGTTGAGGCACTATGGTACAAGCCAGAAGGTCGCGGGTTCAAGTCCCGATGAGGCCATTGGATTTTTTTCAAGTGACCTAATCCTTCCAGCCACACTATGGCCCTGGGATTGACTCAGCCTCTAATAGAAATGAGTACCAGGAATTAATTAAATAATTTTCCTGGGGAGTAAAGCGTGGCCGGCCCTTAAGGCTGACAAACTTTACTGCCATTTTTGAGCCGATTGTCTAGATAATGTGGGACCCTCAATGTCTCACAACCCTATGGGTCTTCACGGCCTGTTACAGGGATAGCTTTACGTTTTTACTTTACCTATAATATGTCTGATAAGGGACTTTACGCACACTGCTGAACGTGTTTGTTACAGATATGGGCACATTCAAAGATGCAAGTGAAAAGAAAGTTGTTCTGGAAGCAGGACAGTTTGCGGTGTTGGATATGCCAGCTATTGACAGCCACCCCGCTCCATTAGTAACATGGTTCACTGATGGAGAGGCACAATTATACGATCGCAAGTTTGCTGTGACAGCACAGAATCAGCTTGTCATTCTGGATGCAAGTCCATCTGACCAAAAGGCATACAGGTGCGTGAAAGTGTTTGTCAAGGTTCTGTACTACAGTCTTCTGGAATGTGAAAGCATGTAGTCTCATAAAGTTATCAGTGTTTTGGTGGCACTTGCTACCTCCATTTTAGGGATTGAAGAGTCTCTTTGGGTTGGTGAAGGCAATAGGTTTCCACCAAAACATTGTGACTTTCGACACTCCATGCTTATAGACCTGGCTGTTCTCAGTGGAATGCATGGTGGATTTGATGAGTCCACTGAGATAAGGAGTGTGGGTTTCTGTATGTGTTATAGCAGGGCCTTAGTTACACTTCATCACCCTCTCTCCTTCCCTCCTAAACTGCAGCTGCAACCACTGCCCTGCTATTTATTACTTTACATCTCTGCACTTCTCAAATCTACAAACTGTCACCATGAAATTAAGCTCAGCAGAGTGTTACTTTGAGGTTACTGTTTCAAAAGCTATCATGCAAAGAATTACAGTGGTGCCTTGTGTTTGTGCAGGGCACAGGCAGTCAACCCACAGATTGGCAGAGAGGAGTACAGTGCCTTTGTAAGATTGTTCGTGACAGGGGATGCACCAGCAGAAATTGCACCAGAAATAGTTGTGAAACCTGCTGACATGCACATCGTGAAGGGAGAGGCTGCTGTTGACTTGCATTGCATAGCTAATGCCAGGTATGCATCAGAATGTCTCCTTATTGTCTTTTTATATATGGGCCAATTTATGGCCCATATATAAAAAGACTAAACATATGCACAAACAACTAAAAACCTTATTAAACTTGAAATATGAATACAACATTACTAATACCTTAAACTTTGCGAATAACATCAACAAGTTAAAACTTAACCCAGAACATAAATTTCTTACAATGGACATTAAAGACCTTTATGTGAATATCCCAATAAATGATGTAATCCGCATTACTAATAACTTACTCATCCAAAATCATATAGGCAAAACTTGCAAAGATGAAATTATTACGATCCTCCGAATGATATTGAATCAAAATTACTTCCAATACAATGATAAATTCTATAAACCAAACTCGGGTGTTGCCATGGGCTCTCCCTTGTCGAGTCTAATGGCGGAAGTATTTCTGCAACATTTCGAACAAAGGGAAGTAAAGCACTTGCTAGAGGACAAACGCATCATCTACTATAATAGATATGTAGATGACATAATTTTGATTTATAACCAATTAATCGTTACGCCCCAATACATTTTAGATCAATTCAATAAGCAAAATAAAAATTTGCAATTCACACTAAATGAGGAGGAGAATAACCAAATAACGTACCTTGACTTGCGGTTAACAAATAACCACGGACAAGTAAGAATGGAGATATATAGAAAGCCCACATCGACAGACACAACGATAGGTAATAATTCTTGCCATCC